ACTTGGGCGCCATCAACAAACGAACAAGGGGTGTCGCGTGNCTGTTCTTTGCCAAAGCCATGAACTCCTCTGCCTGTATCATGCCCAACGCCACCTGAGCCATGGGCGCCGCCCTTATCACCTCCTCTATGTTCCTCGATTCCATGGTCCAAGACTTGGGCGCCATCAACAAACGAACAAGGGGTGTCGCGTGCAAAAGTAGAGGCATGGGTGTCGCCCTCTGAATAAGCACCACCATGGATGCTGCCCATCGTGTCACTCTCTTGGGCGCCGCCTATGAGATCAAGGCCACGAGTTTTTCTTTGCTCCACTTCATGAATTTTTGAATAGTGAAAAGTGGTGTTGAATAGTAAAAAAGGGGGTTGAATAGTAAAAAATGGTGTTGAATAGTGAGAAAGCGTGTTGAACCGTGAACTCCACGATGATGAACAATGGAAATGGGATTGAACAGTGTGATGAACTGTAAGAAATGGAGGNTTTTTCTTTGCTCCACTTCATGAATTTTTGAACCCCTAGTTTCCATGAGTGTTGAAAAAGAAAAAGAATGTTGAATAGTAAAAAATGGGTTGAATAGTGAAAAGTGGTGTTGAATAGTAAAAAAGGGGGTTGAATAGTAAAAAATGGTGTTGAATAGTGAGAAAGGGTGTTGAACCGTGAACTCCACGATGATGAACAATGGAAATGGGATTGAACAGTGTGATGAACTGTAAGAAATGGAGGAAGATGAGATGAACAGTAACCTCTATTTATAGACAAAGAAGCAGTGCAAAAACCAAACAAAAAATTTAGCGAGTCCCTGAGGATAAAAAGATACCGTGGGAAGCAAAAAAATTTCCGACTCACCCAGATGAAGACAAAGCACATGCCCAAAACTCCTTCCTCTCACAAAAAAGTCAAAGGCTTGGGGCATGGGGGCAAATGATGAGCTCGAAATTAACTGAGCTAGGCCTAATTAATATAAACCGAGAAAACTCAATCAAAGCTGGGTTCACCCATCAAAAGGAGTCCAAATCACCGGAGCCTAAAAGGAGTTGAATAGTGAAAATGGGTGTTGAATAGTGAAAATAGGTGTTGAATAGTGAGGNGAAGACAAAGCACATGCCCAAAACTCCTTCCTCTCACAAAAAAGTCAAAGGCTTGGGGCATGGGGGCAAATGATGAGCTCAAAATTAACTGAGCTAGGCCTAATTAATATAAACCGAGAAAGCCCAATCAAAGCTGGGTTCACCCATCAAAAGGAGTCCAAATCACCGGAGCCTAAAAGGAGTTGAATAGTGAAAATGGGTGTTGAATAGTGAAAATAGGTGTTGAATAGTGAGGATGGTGTTTTGGGTGTTGAATAGTGAAAATGGAAGTTGAATAGTGAAAATGGGTGTTGAATAGTGAGAAAGAGAGTTGGACTTGTCCACAAATCAAGAAGGAATCAAATGGAACCCAAGTCAAAGGACGCACCCAAGAAGGCACCGCCCAAAGCATTAGAGGGCGTCGCCCAAGTCATCCCCAAGTCAGGCGCCACCTAGTGCTGGCCCTCCTGGTTCCTCTTTCGCTCCCTTCTCAGAGCTGATTGTACCCTTATCTCCAAAGGTAATAGTTTTACCTTAAAAGAATGTAACCTGCCTTGTAGAGGTTATAACCTCACCTCTAAAAGTGGTATATTTATCTCTATAGGTTGTATCTTAATCATAACGCTGTGTTTGGTATGTAGGATTAAACTTTAGGAATTGAATTATCATTACTTAGGAATGCTTATTCCATTGTTTGGTTTATGGTAATGAAAATTTATTCTCATNCTTCGCTCCCTTCTCAGAGTTGATTGTACCCTTATCTCCAAAGGTAATATAGTTTTACCTTAAAAGAATGTAACCTGCCTTGTAGAGGTTATAACCTCACCTCTAAAAGTGGTATATTTATCTCTATAGGTTGTATCTTAATCATAACGCTGTGTTTGGTATGTAGGATTAAACTTTAGGAATTGAATTATCATTACTTAGGAATGCTTATTCCATTGTTTGGTTTATGGTAATGAAAATTTATTCTCATTCCTAATCATTCCTTACGAATAACTAATACCACAAAACATAGGATTAGTGATTACCAAATTAAACGTGGTATTGCCCATTCCCCAAATCAATGGTAATGAAACCCAATTGATTTGACCAAACAACTCGATGGTCTTGATCTTTTCCCCTTCTCTGTTTCTCTGTTCTCCTCTCACTCTTCGTCTTCTTCCCTACCCATCCCCCCTCTCTCTCTCTCTCTCCTCACATCACCTCAATGACGACTACTCCCTTGCTAGGAACCATGGCAGTACCTCTATTCTCTGCCTCCTCAGCTCCTTGTGATGCAAGGAACCATAACAACGATCGGGACTACATCTATGACCATACAAGATCTGCCCTTGCAACCAATCTTAGGTAATACCTCAATCAATTTCGTCAACAATCTCATATTCATTTTAGATTTTTATAAGGGTTAACATATTTTCTTTCTTTTCTCATTTCCTGAACACATGATTATTAAAGGAAGACAATGTTGAGAAAATACAATGTATTGTTAGATTTAAACTCAATTAGGACTGATACATTGGTTCTCCTTTATTTTTATGTATTTTTTCTTTTGTAGAATGTTTGTTTCTCTGTGCCAATTTTAATTGCTACAATATTTAGTAATTTAACCTTTAAAATAAATACATTTTGTCGTGCTTGAACTAAGAATATTTTTTCATTTTTTTTTTTTGGTCATAGTTTTATCGATTAGATCAGCTCAACTAATTAGAAATCCAAAAGAATTTAGAGCTCTTACCATGACCTGAGGACCAATATGTGTTGTCTTTCCCGTATGGCAACTTTCAATCGGGTCCCCCCTTCTTTCTCTCTCCCTCCCTCCCTCTAGATGAATCAGCATATATTACTTAGTACAATCCATTNAGAATTTAGAGCTCTTACCATGACCTGAGGACCAATATGTGTTGTCTTTCCCGTATGGCAACTTTCAATCGGGTCCCCCCCTTCTCTCTCTCTCCCTCCCTCCCTCTAGATGAATCAGCATATATTACTTAGTACAATCCATTCATTTCCAATACAATAACCAAACGAGCTCAAGTTCTTACGGTATACAAAAGGCAACAGCCCGTCAAAATTGGAACCGGTTATCACCGTTATTCATTGAACCCGAAATGTATTAGAACACGTTAGTGATACTCTAAACTTGTGAAAGGAGTCAAAATTGGAACCGGTCATCACCGTTATTCACAATTCAAAGGAGAAAAGCGCACTAAACTGGGCAGCATAATCATCGACTCATTGAATGCATCCAAAAACCCCAAATGCTTCAGCTTACCAATACAGCTCAGTGCTCGGCATCCTTGAAAATATACGCATGACACTCAACTTACCATACTGAGATTGAACATACACTTCAACCCTCAATCATCCACAATGCTGTCAATGAGGTGATGAATTGTGTTCATAAACAATGGGGTGAAGAATACATAGCCAACTGTTTTCGAGGAAGGTGTATAAATAACCGTGAGCACTCACGAGGGGTGGAAGGAGTTGGTAAAGACACACAAGTTCCGAAGGAATGAGCTGTTAGTTCACGAGCAATCATCATTATGAAAATGAACAAACTACAATCATTATCTTACTTACCTCTCGTATTGGTAGTTTTATGACCAAACTATTAGCATTTCCTCTCCCCATAACCTAGTAAGGAGAAACAAAAGCAACCAGAGTGCAAAAATTGACCAACACAGGAAGTAAATATTGAGCAGTGGACTCTTCACCAATATCAACATATTAAACTTCTATACATCAAGAGCTCCCAAAAATATCTAAAACAGATGCTTAAACGTATGACACAATTCATAACTACTTCGTGCACATATGGATCTCATTGTAAGACAGTGATACACGTGACAGTGATACCACGAATCACTCATGACACCGTATCACCTTACACTACATATTTAGCCNTAAAACAGATGCTTAAACGTATGACACAATTCATAACTACTTCGTGCACATATGGATCTCACTGTAAGACAGTGATACACGTGACAGTGATACCACGAATCACTCATGACACCGTATCACCTTACACTACATATTTAGCCCATTGATAGAAACATCAAAAAGTAAATCCTTCATACCCCCAATTGTTAGCTTGAGTGGAATCTCTTGCAACCCCAAAAGTGAGGGAGTTGAAAGGTTTAAGTCCTAGTTCGCGGAAAAGAAGTACATGTCAGTTGTTTATTCTCAACTCAACAAAATCTTGTACCAACGTTTTTGGGGTTGGCTACATGTCAGTTGCTGGTGCTTACCAAAAAGAAGGGAGCAAAAAAGAATCTTGTCTTCTATTGAAATTTTACCNACAGTTGCTTATTCTCAACTCAACAAAATCTTGTACCAACGTTTTTGGGGTTGGCTACATGTCAGTTGCTTGTGCTTACCAAAAAGAAGGGAGCAAAAAAGAATCTTGTCTTCTATTGAAATTTTACCATTAAATAAAATGTGTAAACCTCTCGTCAAATTCTTGAACGATGATCAGGTTTATCATGGGATCTGGAATGCAGCTAATTTAACGAAATCCGAGATAATTAATCCACACATATCACTTACATTAACTATGGGCCATTGCATGGTGCAATAGTAAACTGCTCGGCCTAACAATCATAAGGTTGTAGGAACAAATCTGAATGCATCCAATTCGTACACACAATGACAAATGTGAAGGATATGCCAGTCCAGCCCTCCCGGCACCCTCTTCAAGATTTTAGACCTAATAAGGCAATCGCCTTTTTCATCATCTATGCCACAGCCTCACAAACCCAATATAACTCTAAGCCAATCTTGAAAAAAATGTGCCAGTGAGCACGTGTGTTGGTGTTGAGTGGAGGTGGAGGGAGGTAGAGGTGAAGGCAAACATGGTATTTTGTAATGTACTGGTGTTAGGCCGAACGAATGTGTTTTGGTCTCAGCTTTTTCGATTCCTTATTTTTTAGGGGGTAAAATTAGTATCTCATGAAAAATAATTACAAGCTGGAGAGTGTAACGATACTTTCGTGTTTCAGTTCAGCCACTCCTATTAGTCAATTTTGTCCACTTGCAACTCGGAGGAGGCAAATTGCAGCATTGAAAACCAGATTACAATAAGGGGCATCATTGGAAGGGGCAAATTATAACTAACCCTTTTCAATATATCCCTCTCCACAATACAATGTACTATCCTACCATCTCATTTCAATAAAAATTGATTCTATAAAACATCTTCAAGACCAAAACTATTTACTAAAATAACACATGAGCGAAATTATCTACAATTTCTATCGTTTTACAAAACAAAATCAACATAATTCAAATGCAGATATATATCAACACAAGCAACAAATTAACAGCGAGATAAATTCAGAAAGTTAATCAGTCAAAGAAACTCGAACTCATCTTCTTTCAGATGCGCTGAGAATTTGACCGGTCCACTACGCCCTTCGATTTCAGTCACGAACTCAACTTTATAAGGCAAATTCGCCGAAATCCGCTTGCCCTTCCAAACCCCAACGTATTGCTTCAACAACCCTACCATTCCAGTCCGCTCAAATTCAGGCACTTTGGGGACATGATAAACTTTTAATGGCACCTTAACCCTAACCCTAGCCCCAATATTGGACTCCTCAGCCTCCACCGCCGCTTTATCATCCTCTTCTGAGTACAACGATGTGGAGGGATTGTCTATGATTGTGGTGGAATCGGAGAAGGCTTTGTTTCTTTGAAAATTGATTGAGCAACGAGTGGATATATGAGAAGGTGGATTTGGGGTGGAGATGGTGAGGCGGTGATGGTGGTGGCGGAGTGGTAGCGGTGCGGAGAAGAAGATCGGAGATGTCATGGTGGTTTTTGTGCAGAACATGACTATTTTTATTTTTTTATTTTTTATTTTGGCCTTTTTCCTGTGATTGTGGCTGGTGTGGGTTTTATATGGTTGAGGAATTGCCAAGCATGAGGGGTCACGTGACTGGGATGGCGTTGACACGTGACGAACTCATCACAAAGGGGAGTTTTGTTTTGTATTTTATTTTGTTTTTATGTTTGATTTTTGTACCGAATTCCTATTTTTTTCTTGTATAAAAATAAAAAATAAAAAATAAAAAATAAAAAAATAAATTTAAGTGTTTAAATGTAGTAGATGAGAAATTACAGGTTATTAAATGAAAAAATATATAAAATATTAATAATAGACTTGCAATTAACTATAAACATCTATTAATAACTTAGAAGATGCAAAACCACACCCTTGTCTTTTTATTAATAGTATAAATATTAATTATATGAGTAATAATATTATTTTATTTTATTTTATTATTTCAATGATCGGCGATTACAAATAACTTAAATTAAGATCTATGATTTAAATTCATTTTTTGGTACAATACTCAAAAGTTAACTATCGATATGATACTTACCCAATATAAAACTTTCGATATCCTAATATTATCCTTTGTTTTTTTTCGTAATAGATAGTGTCATCATGTCATGTTATATTTATATAATGTTTAAAATTAAATAAAAATAATATTTATTTTATTTATATTTGATTTATTTATAACTTTAAATTATGCATCGTCATGTTTGCATCGATTTATTTATTATTATTTATAATTGAATTTAAATCATTTGAGATTGATGCAACTTATTGCTCCTCCCAATTACTCATCTAACTCCCAAAAATAATAAATTCGAAATTATTTGTAATCTATTACTATTGAAAAAAAGAATGGTGAAGAATTTTGTATCCACTCTCCAATACAAAACTTCTTTGCACTTGGGGAGAGGAGGGAATGACAATTCTTTTGAGTCTCCACATGAAATATTCATAATATATTTATTTTTCTCACTTTAATCACTCATAACTTTCTCTTCAACCGCAATCCACTCTCGTCTCTCTCCTCTTTCCATTTTTTATGTTACTCTGTTTATAATCATGTACATGATGGTCGTACATAAAGACATATGACATATAATAGTGACAAATTTGTGGTATTTATTGGATTTATATCCTCGTCTATATATCTCTATCATGCTCCCACATCCCTGTTGTATTTAATTTATTTGGTAATATTAGGGAGAGAAAAGAAGAGAAAAAAAAATTATGAAAGGTTAAAAAGGGGACTTAAGAAGTTGAAAATGAGCATAAAATTGGCAAATAATTATTTGTTAATGGTTGGAAAAAAAAATTAATGAAGTGTCCCAAGTGATATTAAAGTGCGCAGGTGGCGAATATTGATTGGGTATTAATTATTATTATTATTTTTTTGATATTTCAACTGTCCTAATAGATCAGTACAATATTTTCTCGCTCATGTATCGGACTAATGTTAGATTTTGTGGAAAGCCACCTCTCCACACTGTATAGTAAATTTATGGACGGTAATTCCAATGAACTACTCTTTGTTGAATATTTAAAAATCTGATCTACCCCCCATGAGAAATTTATCTTGAGCAACAATTACGCTAACCTATCTCAATTATTTATGGAAAANCACTTGGGGAGAGGAGGTAATGACAATTCTTTTGAGTCTCCACATGAAATATTCATAATATGTTTATTTTTCTCACTTTAATCACTCATAACTTTCTCTTCAACCGCAATCTACTCTCGTCTTTCTCCTCTTCCATTTTTTATGTTACTCTGTTTATAATCATGCACATGATGGTCGTACATAAAGACATATGACATATACTAGTGACAAATTTGTGGTATTTATTGGATTTATATCCTCGTCTATATATCTCTATCATGCTCCCACATCCCTGTTGTATTTAATTTATTTGGTAATATTAGGGAGAGAAAAGAAGAGAAAAAAAAATTATGAAAGGTTAAAAAGGGGACTTAAGAAGTTGAAAATGAGCATAAAATTGGCAAATAATTATTTGTTAATGGTTGGAAAAAAAAATTAATGAAGTGTCCCAAGTGATATTAAAGTGCGCAGGTGGCGAATATTGATTGGGTATTAATTATTATTATTATTTTTTTGATATTTCAACTGTCCTAATAGATCAGTACAATATTTTCTCGCTCATGTATCGGACTAATGTTAGATTTTGTGGAAAGCCACCTCTCCACACTATATAGTAAATTTATGGACGGTAATTCCAATGAACTACTCTTTGTTGAATATTTAAAATTCTGATCTACCCACCAGGAGAAATTTATCTTGAGCAACAATTACGCTAACCTATCTCAATTATTTATGGAAAAATAAAAAATTGAAAAAGAACAATAAATAATAAATTTAATTTAATTTTTAAAATAATAAATATTACTATTTTCACATAATTAGAACGATAAATTTACAACAAAGAAAAGTCAAACATATAAACTAAACTCAAAACTTGTGATTTATAATACAAACTTCAAAACTTTGACTACAATTCAAAAAGAAACTTTTCATTTTATATCTCCAAACAAAATGAGTTCCGATCTCAACTCAGTCCACTAATAAGTAATTCTCCATAATATCAAAATCAGAGGGGGTGGGATGAAGCAAAATGAGTAATTTTTTAATAATATTAAAATCGAGTAGGAGAGGATGGGATGAGAATTTCGTGCACCGCATTGGATCATATTAATTAATATCTTTATCCACATAATTATATGCAATAATTAAATTAAGGAAGAGTACTTAGAAGCCGTTGTTACAAAAATATCTAATTGCAAAATATAGTAATTTTTTGTAATCAAAATTCTCAGGATAGATAATCACCTCCGTTATTATTGCTCTATGTGATGTGACCATTTATTTCAAATTTAAGAAAATTTTAGTTCAACCCATTATGAGTGGTTTTTTATTATATTAATTAAAATTTAAACTATGAAATAATAATTTAAGGAATAATTTTTTAAAATATTTTAAATAGACACGGTGTAATGTGAATGTTCAAGCACAGTGTAATATAAATAATTTTAAAAAGAGATGTTAGTGAACGTTAAATGAGTTTGTTTAAGAAAATTAGATAGATTTATTGACATCTGCTCTGTTTATTATAGGACTAAGGTTAACATGTGCATGAATGCACAGTATGTTAATGGTTTGAGAGCAATGTTAGTGGTTGTTGGATGAATTTATTGAAAATCCGTGAAAAAACTTATTAATACCTATTTTGTTTTATATTATAGTTATCTGCTAATGTCTTTTAATGTGCCATATTAGCACGTGTTAGACTAGGGTGACAGGTGCTACCATGGGGTACTGTATGCTACCTCCTTCCACCCACACGACGAACAACAAGTCATTACCGTCGATCTCTGATCACTGCATCATATCCCTTCATTTTAGAATCCCATTCAAAATTCAAAATTCAAATTCAAACTCACAAACCCAACTCGACCGTTAACCCTCACTCACCACCTTTTCCCCTCCCTATAAACCCTTCACCATCCACCTCTATACCCTCGTTTGACACCCCCCCGCCCCTCTCTCTTTCTTGGATCTTTCAGAGTTCAGACACTACCTCTGTGTCTCACTCTCGCTCAACCCACCATGGCGATCGACAAAAAACTACCGTTACAAACCAGCAACAACGCCAACATCTCCACCACCGGAAAAACCATCGAAGAAACATATCAGAAAAAAACCCAGCTCGAACACATCCTCCTACGACCCGACACCTACATTGGTTCAATCGAAAAACACACACAAACCCTTTGGGTCTATGAGAACAACGAAATGGTTCATCGCCCAATTTCCTACGTGCCCGGCCTGTACAAGATCTTCGACGAAATCCTCGTCAACGCGGCTGATAACAAGCAAAGAGACCCATCAATGGACTCCCTGAAGGTTGTGATTGACATTGAGCAGAACTTGGTGAGTGTTTACAATAATGGGGATGGAGTTCCGGTGGAGATTCATCAGGAGGAGAAGGTCTATGTTCCAGAACTGATTTTCGGGCACTTGTTGACTAGTAGTAACTATAATGATTCGGAGAAGAAGACCACCGGTGGGAGGAACGGCTACGGGGCGAAGCTTACGAATATTTTCTCAACGGAGTTTGTGATCGAGACTGCAGATGGGAAGAGGCAGAAGAAGTACAAGCAGGTATACAGATTCGGGATTTTGATTATTGTTGTAGTTGAGGTTGTTTTGAATAGAAATTTAAGGTTTAATTCTTTGTATTTCTTAAATTTTTGTGCTTGTTTGTCAGTTCTTGATTAGGGTTTCTTGAGGCTTTTCTCGAGGTTTGTTGTATAAATGGGGATTTTGGGTGTTACATTTGATCTTGTACGGTCTTGGTTTAAGTTTTTGAGATTTTGATGGTGATTCTTGATTTTGACGGTATTTGACTTTGGGTATTCATTTAGGTCTCTCTAGCTTTTTGTGAAACAGATATTTAGGGTCTTGGATATTGATATTTGCGTTCTTGGATTTTGCTATCGATTGCCAGTTCCTGGTTAGGGTTTCTTGAGGTCATTGTCTGTATATTTCAAAATTTTGTTGGTTTCAGGATACTTCAGGGATGTCTCAATGTATTTAGGGCTTGTTATTACAATGGTGTTTGTGGATTTTTGATGTTGATATTTGCGTTCTTGGATTTTGCTATCGATTGCCAGTTCCTGGTTAGGGTTTCTTGAGGTCATTGTCTGTATATTACAAAATTTTGTTGGTTTCAGGATACTTCAGGGATGTCTCAATGTATTTAGGGCTTGTTATTACAATGGTGTTTGTGGATTTTTGATGTTGATATTTGCGTTCTTGGATTTTGCTATCGATTGCCAGTTCCTGGTTAGGGTTTCTTGAGGTCATTGTCTGTATATTACAAAATTTTGTTGGTTTCAGGATACTTCAGGGATGTCTCAATGTATTTAGGGCTTGTTATTACAATGGTGTTTGTGGATTTTTGAAGTTGATACCTTCTTCTTGAATTTGTGGCTCAGAGGGAGATTTAAGGTTTTATATTTTAGAATGTTTCTCTTATTTCTTTTTGACTGTTGAGTCTTGGTTAGTACTCTGTTCTTGTTTTGTTGGATCTTGATTAGATTTCAAGAGGTTTGCATGTTCATTTACAGCATTTGATGGATATTGAGGTTCTAAAAACTTGAGAGTAAGTCCTTCTGGACTTTGAATTAGATGTTCCTTATGGAATTAATTAAGATCTCAGGATGCAGTGCTTGTTCTTGGAGGCGGTTTTTTTTTTTTTGTGGGTTCTTGTTGGTACCTCCCACAGTTGAATCAATTAGTCTGTTTGGTTCCTTTGGGAATCAAAATTTGTGTCTCTTCTTTGATTTCGTCAGTGTGGTTCTCAGCAGTTGAAAATTTAGCTACCAAGCAGTTGCGTTTGGGTCAAATGGAAAGATTTTAGTTTTTGGCCTTTCCTCCATACCTGAGTTATCGGCCAACAAGTGTATACTAAGTTCCATTGTAATGGTAGTATAAAATTACCTTCTATAGCTTTGTACGTGTACATTCACTGTAGTACTGTACTGCTTCACTCTGAACTTTTTGTTTGTTCATTTTTTTTGGAAATTAACTTTAAGTTGTTGTGCTGTTATGAAGGTTTTCTCTAATAATATGGGAAAGAAATCTGAGCCTATCATAACAAAATGCAAAGAGAACGAAAACTGGACCAAGGTTTCATTTAGGCCTGACTTGGCAAAGTTCAACATGACTCACCTAGAGGATGATGTTGTTGCCCTGATGAGAAAGCGGGTGATCGACTTAGCTGGGTGTCTTGGAAAGACGGTGAAAGTTGAATTAAATGGCCAGCGGGTTCCTGTAAAATCATTCCTTGACTATGTCAATCTTTATCTACAATCTGCCTCCAAGAACAAACCAGATTCTCTCCCAAGGTCCTCTCTATGAACCTTTTTTGATGATCTCTTTTCCTTTAAGCTATGATTAGAACTGCTAATAAGATTCAGTAATATGCAGGATTGTTGAAAAAGTTAATGAGAGATGGGAAATCTGCGTTAGTCTTAGCGAAGGACAGTTTCAACAGGTAACAGAATCAAAGGACAGTGCCGCAATATATGTAGAGATCCTAAGCACTTGCCAAACATTAGTTCCAGAACTTAATGTTTTATGTGTTGACTGGTTTTTCCAGGTCAGCTTTGTAAATGGAATATCAACAATCAAGGGTGGGACTCATGTTGACTATGTTACTAACCAGATCACGAATCATGTTATGAGTATTGTAAATAAGAAGAACAAGAATGCCAACATGAAAGCCCATTCTGTGAAGAATTACTTATGGGTCTTTGTCAATGCTCTAATTGACAACCCTGCTTTTGATTCTCAAACCAAGGAGACTTTGACACTTCGTCAGAGCAGTTTCGGTTCTAACTGTGAACTCTCACAAGAGTTTCTGAAGAAAGGTATATTTTTGCTGTGATACGTCTGATTATTTGTCAAAATAATAACTAATTTACACCTCTTCTATGTCTTGTATGAGGTCTAAACATTGATGGTTTTTGGTCCATCCTGTCGCAGTGGCCAAGTCTGGTGTGGTGGAAAATCTCCTCTCATGGGCAGATTTTAAGCAGAGCAAGGACCTTAAGAAAACTGATGGAGCAAAGAGGCAGAGGATCACTGGAATTACTAAGCTAGAAGATGCCAATGATGCTGGAGGGAAAAATTCTGATAAATGTACTTTGATTCTGACAGAAGGAGATTCAGCTAAGGCTCTTGCTGTAAGTTGCCAATATCTTCACTCCACTCTTCAACTATGGTTTGAAATTGGCAGATAACTAAGTTAAATTTTTGCAGATGGCTGGAATTTCTGTTGTGGGGCGAAACTACTATGGTGTATTTCCTTTGAGAGGTAAATTGCTCAATGTCAGGGAAGCAAACCATAAGCAGATCATGGACAATGCTGAAATTCAGAACATCAAGCAGATTCTTGGACTCCAGCATGGAAAAGCGTATGACAGTGTCAAGTCACTGAGATATGGTCACTTGATGATAATGACTGATCAGGTTACTTATTTTCCTTTTCTTCCATCCCTTCCACTTTTGTCACTGTTGGTGGTTAGATTTGTGTTTAAGCTACTTACAAGGAGGCTAAAACTTTGATAAAGATCCAACCATGTGCTTGTGCAGGATCATGATGGCTCCCACATCAAAGGGCTATTGATTAATTTCATTCATTCGTTCTGGCCATCACTGCTGAAAATTCCAACTTTTTTAGTGGAGTTTGTTACGCCAATCGTGAAGGTTTGTTTTGTTTTAAGATTTATTCCAGTAAGTTAACATAAATCTTAGTGCAAGTTTTTACCTATTTTCAGAGCAAAATTTCAAATTTTGTACGTAATGTTGTTACAGGCCACTAACAAAAATGGAAGGGTATTATCCTTCTATTCCATGCCCGAGTACGAGTCATGGAAGGAAAGCCTGGGGGGCAATGCAAGCAGTTGGTCTATTAAGTACTACAAGGTTTGTTTAATAAAATTATGTCCTGGGCACCAGTTAGAGTTGTAGTTAGAGTATGACTATTTTTATATTTTCGCTGCTTGGCAGGGGTTGGGAACAAGCACATCAAAAGAAGGGAAAGAATACTTCAATGATCTTGGCAAGCACAAAAAAGACTTTGTCTGGGCAGATGAGCAAGATGGGGATGCAATTGAGCTTGCCTTCAGTAAAAAGAAGATTGAAGCAAGGAAGAATTGGCTCCGACAGTTTGAGGTTGAGATTTGTGCAATTTTTCAGGAGTTCTTGAAGTATAAGAGGGCCAGTGGCCACATTTTCTAACAATTGTTTCCTCATGTTTTGCAGCCTGGTACTTACCTTGATCAGAAGCAGAAGCTCATTAAGTACAGTGACTTCGTCAATAAGGAGCTTATACTGTTTTCAATGGCGGATCTTCAGAGGTCAATTCCATCAATGGTTGATGGCCTGAAACCTGGTCAAAGAAAAATTCTTTTCTGTTCTTTCAAAAGGAACTTTGTCAAGGAAGCAAAAGTTGCCCAATTCTCTGGTTATGTGTCTGAGCACTCAGCTTACCATCATGGTGAGCAGAGTCTTGCCGGTACCATTATTGGCATGGCTCAGGATTTTGTGGGCAGCAACAACATAAACCTTTTTCAGCCAAATGGTCAGTTTGGCACTCGACATCAGGTTAGAGGAACAAAATATATTCTTTCTTCAAATATTATACTTCGTATTTTGGTATTAAATGCACAAACTTTCATTCCAGGGAGGCAAAGATCATGCGAGTGCTAGGTACCTATACACTCGGCTCTCGCCTATCACCAGATTTCTATTTCCTAAGGATGATGATATCCTTCTTGACTACTTGAATGAGGATGGGCAATCTATTGAGCCTACTTGGTAAGATTTCCTAATTATGCTAATTATGGCAAAGGAGAATCAGTAAAATCTGGAGTTGCAGATGATTAAAGCTGATTCATTTTCTGATTCAGGTATATGCCAACTATACCCACAGTTCTAATCAACGGAAGCGAAGGAATAGGAACAGGATGGAGCTCATATATCCCGAACTATAACCCAAGAGACATAATTGCTAATGTGAGGCATTTGTTGAATGGTGAGCCAATGGAACCTATGTATCCATGGTACAGAGGATTCAGAGGGACCATTGAACAAACAGCAACAAAAGAAGCAGGGGTGAGTTACACTGCCAGTGGAATTATGGAGGAAATAAATGAAACTACACTTAGGATTACAGAGCTTCCAATCCGAAAGTGGACACTAGACTACAAGGAGTTTCTAGAATCAATCATGGTTGGAAATGATAAGATCAAGGATCCATTTATCAAGGTAAATTTAGATTCTTCCTGACTCGTATTGACATTATCATGATGTGCCACACAATTTGGATTCTCATAGCTGAGTTTACCTCTTACAGGACTATAGGGAGCATAATGATGACACTACTGTACACTTCGAAGTGATCTTGTCTGAGGAGAACTTGATCTTGGCCAAGCAAGAGGGATTGCTGAAGAAATTTAAGCTAACCACTACTATAAGCACAACTAATATGCATCTCTTCGACTCAAAAGGCGTAATAAAGAAATATGACACACCTGAACTAAGTATGTCACTGATTTTCATGTTGATTCTTTCATGATTTTTGAAACTTTTACTTCAATTTCCATTCAATCCTTCTACTTTCTTATTTTGCAGTTCTTGAGGAATTCTGTCACTTAAGGCTCGAATTTTATGAGAAAAGAAAGGCAAGTTGGCCAGAAAAGGAAACTTACACTGCAAAAGTTTTGAATTGCTTGGTTTCTTCCATGTAATGCGTAGCCACCAACCCTAATTTAGCAATTTTATGCAGAAAGTTCTACTAGACAATCTCGAGATGGAGCTGTTGAAACTTGATAACAAGGTTAGGTTTATCCTGGGGGTTGTGGAGGGCAAGATTATCGTGAGCAACAGGAAAAGAGTGGATTTGTTTCTTGAGTTGAAGGAAAAAGGTTTCACTCCTTTCCCAAAGAAAACCAAAACCGTGGAAGCAGTGGTTGCTGGGGCAACTGATGATGTAGAAGAAACTGAAGAGAATTCTGAGGTTACAAGCAAAGGCATACGGGCAAGTGATTATGAGTACCTGCTGTCCATGGCAATTGGGACCTTGACACTTGAGAAGGTTCAGGAGCTATGTGCTGATAGAGATAAGCTCAACAAAGAAGTTGATGATTTGAAAAAGGCAACCCCAAAGTCTTTGTGGACGAAAGATCTTGATGCTCTTGAAAGAGCCCTTGACGTATGAATTCAAAGCTCGTGATTTTTTTGTAATGCTTTTGATTTATGCTGTTATCCTTCCTCATTTTTGGGTACATAATTCAGGACCAAGATAAGAGTGATGCCCAGCTAGAGGAGGCTAGAAAGAAGATGAAAAGCAGGGTGATGAGTGAAGCTGGTCTTAAGGATTTAAAACAAGCACCAAAGAACGCACGGAAGAATAACAAGAAGGCCAGCAATTCAGAATCTATTGAACCGTTAAAAACATCAGCCGAATCTGGAAGGGAAACAGGTAATTATTACTTTATCTTTGTGTTTTTATAAGGTTTCATTTTACAGCATATTGTCAGTTGTGTTGGCTTCTTAGCTTGGATAGTCTCCTCTCCTCCATCAGATATTGTTCCAAAGGTGGTGAAGCCAAAAGGCAAACAAGGTTCAAAGAAAGCTCCTGCTAAGAAGGTCTGAATTTATTAGATTTCATCAAAGTTTTTTTTCCTCAACAACTAAATTTTTGAAACACATCGTTCTATTCCCCTGCAGGGAAAACCCTCTTTGGTTCCTGAGGATGATGATGATGATGAAATTCTTGAGCTAAAAGAACGACTTGCTGCTTACAACCTCGAGTCTTCCCCTGATCACTCGGAAGGTATTTTCATGATTTCAGGACCTGTGGAATATTATGTTCTTCGTGAAACGATTTGAAAAGGGGGGAGAATTGTTTGTTGTCTAACATCTCAGTTGTGTCTCTACAGCCATGGGAACTGAATTGCCTCCTGAAATACAGAATAGGAAGAAAGAAACCAGCAGAAGGGCTGTTGCACAGAAAAAGCCTTTGTTAACTGTAACAGAGATTTCTGATGATGGCAGTGGTAATGATAATGACGAGAACGATATGAGTGATGACGATTTTGATCTAGAAGAAGCAATAGCACCGGAAGAGACAAAGAAGAGAGGAAAAAAGGCAACAAAAAATGTGAAAGTAGCCAAACCCCCTGCAGCTGCGAAGAAAAGAGGGCAGGCTACTACGCAGCAACCTCAGCTAAGGGGCCAGAAGCTGATAACAGAAGTTCTGAAGCCTGCTGAGAATTCAGGGATTTCACCAGAGAAAAAGGTGAGGAAGATGAGAGCATCTCCATTTAACAAGAAGAGTGGTTCTGTGTTGGGACTGATTGGTAAAAAGGATGAGGAAAAGGTTTCAGCAGGAAGTGAAAAAGAAATGGGATCTGCTTCTAGTTCAGACAGTATTGAAGAGATGAGTGAAGTCATGGCTCCAAGAGCTAGAACAATGAGGGCAAACCGCGGAAAGGCAACTTATGTTGTGAGTGATTCTGAAAGTGATCAAGCTACTGATGATTCTGACTTCAATGAAGATGAAGATTAATGTTTTTTTTTTTTTAAGGTTGGGTGACTTAATTGAACTGGGAAATATGAACTCTTTTCCCTGTAAGGTCTGAAACTTTACTTGACAATGTTGATTCTTGACATTCATGCAGTGAATGTGTGCAATCATTTTATAACTAATGTACAATTTTCGGTTCAACGATCAGGAGTGTTCTGGCTGGTTTATACGCATTTCGATTAAGATGAGAGTATTATGCAGGATAAATCTCTCATGACGTCTTGCTCTCAGTTTGAATCCCAAATTTTAATATTGTTCTGCCGGAGGTATATGATTGAGTAAACGGGTCAAATTTATGATAAAAAATGCAACCAAACTGATGTGTCAAAATCAAAATAATCAATCAATCGTTGTTAGCAGCCCCCCTTATTTGTTGCCAACAAATTTAAATCTATGTCTGTATCCATCTAAAGAAGTAAAATTTCTTGTTCTTGATTAAATTCCATGGGTAAATAGTTAATATAATTTTATGTTTTATTGTTATGTACATGTAATTAAATGATTGTGTTATACCATCCGGTAGTTCCTAAAATATCTATATTCTATTGTTATATTCATGTGATTATATATCGATATTTATATTATTTAAAAAATTTTATCAAAGACTTTCAATAACACGATACGAACCGAACACGAAATTAAACAGGTCAATGGATAAACACGTTTAAATACAAAAAAACCCAACCTAACTCATTGTAGACTCATTTAACCCATTTATAACAGTATAATTTACCTATTATGTATGACTGATATAATCTTAACATTATTACTTATTAGTTATTACTTCTACTATGGTAATTAACAGCATAGTTCTTAACATTATTATAACATTATAATAATATAGTTCTTGTTTTAATTTTTGAGTTGAAACTTAAATGTATTTTAGTTAATTTAATTGATGAGATGTGATATGTTATTGGTTAAACATTTATTTGAAATTTTGNAGCCCCCCTTATTTGTTGCCAACAAATTTAAATCTATGTCTGTATCCATCTAAAGAAGTAAAATTTCTTGTTCTTGATTAAATTCCATGGGTAAATAGTTAATATAATTTTATGTTTTATTGTTATGTACATGTAATTAAATGATTGTGTTATACCATCCGGTAGTTCCTAAAANCCATGGGAACTGAATTGCCTCCTGAAATACAGAATAGGAAGAAAGAAACCAGCAGAAGGGCTGTTGCACAGAAAAAGCCTTTGTTAACTGTAACAGAGATTTCTGATGATGGCAGTGGTAATGATAATGACGAGAACGATATGAGTGATGACGATTTTGATCTAGAAGAAGCAATAGCACCGGAAGAGACAAAGAAGAGAGGAAAAAAGGCAACAAAAAATGTGAAAGTAGCCAAACCCCCTGCAGCTGCGAAGAAAAGAGGGCAGGCTACTACGCAGCAACCTCAGCTAAGGGGCCAGAAGCTGATAACAGAAGTTCTGAAGCCTGCTGAGAATTCAGGGATTTCACCAGAGAAAAAGGTGAGGAAGATGAGAGCATCTCCATTTAACAAGAAGAGTGGTTCTGTGTTGGGACTGATTGGTAAAAAGGATGAGGAAAAGGTTTCAGCAGGAAGTGAAAAAGAAATGGGATCTGCTTCTAGTTCAGACAGTATTGAAGAGATGAGTGAAGTCATGGCTCCAAGAGCTAGAACAATGAGGGCAAACCGCGGAAAGGCAACTTATGTTGTGAGTGATTCTGAAAGTGATCAAGCTACTGATGATTCTGACTTCAATGAAGATGAAGATTAATGTTTTTTTTTTTTTAAGGTTGGGTGACTTAATTGAACTGGGAAATATGAACTCTTTTCCCTGTAAGGTCTGAAACTTTACTTGACAATGTTGATTCTTGACATTCATGCAGTGAATGTGTGCAATCATTTTATAACTAATGTACAATTTTCGGTTCAACGATCAGGAGTGTTCTGGCTGGTTTATACGCATTTCGATTAAGATGAGAGTATTATGCAGGATAAATCTCTCATGACGTCTTGCTCTCAGTTTGAATCCCAAATTTTAATATTGTTCTGCCGGAGGTATATGATTGAGTAAACGGGTCAAATTTATGATAAAAAATGCAACCAAACTGATGTGTCAAAATCAAAATAATCAATCAATCGTTGTTAGCAGCCCCCCTTATTTGTTGCCAACAAATTTAAATCTATGTCTGTATCCATCTAAAGAAGTAAAATTTCTTGTTCTTGATTAAATTCCATGGGTAAATAGTTAATATAATTTTATGTTTTATTGTTATGTACATGTAATTAAATGATTGTGTTATACCATCCGGTAGTTCCTAAAATATCTATATTCTATTGTTATATTCATGTGATTATATATCGATATTTATATTATTTAAAAAATTTTATCAAAGACTTTCAATAACACGATACGAACCGAACACGAAATTAAACAGGTCAATGGATAAACACGTTTAAATACAAAAAAACCCAACCTAACTCATTGTAGACTCATTTAACCCATTTATAACAGTATAATTTACCTATTATGTATGACTGATATAATCTTAACATTATTACTTATTAGTTATTACTTCTACTATGGTAATTAACAGCATAGTTCTTAACATTATTATAACATTATAATAATATAGTTCTTGTTTTAATTTTTGAGTTGAAACTTAAATGTATTTTAGTTAATTTAATTGATGAGATGTGATATGTTATTGGTTAAACATTTATTTGAAATTTTGGATGAATGATTGAATGGTGTATTAATAATAATGAACATGTATGGAAACAAGTTATGTGTGTTAACCCGAAAATAACCCGTTTAATAACCAGGTCAGGTTAGTGTTTACACATCTCGACACGATTATTAAACATATCAGGTTTGTGTAAACATTAAAATTTTAAGAATAATGTTAAAAATTAAAATTTTGTTTTGAAATAATCAATATGTTTTTATTTAAAAAGACTGAAATAAATCAGTGATNTCATGGGAACTGAATTGCCTCCTGAAATACAGAATAGGAAGAAAGAAACCAGCAGAAGGTCTGCTGCACAGAAAAAGCCTTTGTTAACTGTAACAGAGATTTCTGATGATGGCAGTGGTAATGATAATGACGAGAACGATATGAGTGATGACGATTTTGATCTAGAAGAAGCAATAGCACCGGAAGAGACAAAGAAGAGAGGAAAAAAGGCAACAAAAAATGTGAAAGTAGCCAAACCCCCTGCAGCTGCGAAGAAAAGAGGGCAGGCTACTACGCAGCAACCTCAGCTAAGGGGCCAGAAGCTGATAACAGAAGTTCTGAAGCCTGCTGAGAATTCAGGGATTTCACCAGAGAAAAAGGTGAGGAAGATGAGAGCATCTCCATTTAACAAGAAGAGTGGTTCTGTGTTGGGACTGATTGGTAAAAAGGATGAGGAAAAGGTTTCAGCAGGAAGTGAAAAAGAAATGGGATCTGCTTCTAGTTCAGACAGTATTGAAGAGATGAGTGAAGTCATGGCTCCAAGAGCTAGAACAATGAGGGCAAACCGCGGAAAGGCAACTTATGTTGTGAGTGATTCTGAAAGTGATCAAGCTACTGATGATTCTGACTTCAATGAAGATGAAGATTAATGTTTTTTTTTTTTTAAGGTTGGGTGACTTACTTGAACAGGGAAATATGAACTCTTTTCCCTGTAAGGTCTGAAACTTTACTTGACAATGTTGATTCTTGACATTCATGCAGTGAATGTGTGCAATCATTTTATAACTAATGTACAATTTTCGGTTCAACGATCAGGAGTGTTCTGGCTGGTTTATACGCATTTCGATTAAGATGAGAGTATTATGCAGGATAAATCTCTCATGACGTCTTGCTCTCAGTTTGAATCCCAAATTTTAATATTGTTCTGCCGGAGGTATATGATTGAGTAAACGGGTCAAATTTATGATAAAAAATGCAACCAAACTGATGTGTCAAAATCAAAATAATCAATCAATCGTTGTTAGCAGCCCCCCTTATTTGTTGCCAACAAATTTAAATCTATGTCTGTATCCATCTAAAGAAGTAAAATTTCTTGTTCTTGATTAAATTCCATGGGTAAATAGTTAATATAATTTTATGTTTTATTGTTATGTACATGTAATTAAATGATTGTGTTATACCATCCGGTAGTTCCTAAAATATCTATATTCTATTGTTATATTCATGTGATTATATATCGATATTTATATTATTTAAAAAATTTTATCAAAGACTTTCAATAACACGATACGAACCGAACACGAAATTAAACAGGTCAATGGATAAAAATGGGTCAACACGTTTAAATACAAAAAAATTATGTCAGATTCATGTCAAAATCACTAATTTTGACCTGATTAACCCGTATATTTTAAACGGGTTGACATGATTCGGACACAAACCCAACCTAACTCATTGTAGACTCATTTAACCCATTTATAACAGTATAATTTGCCTATTATGTATGACTGGTATAATCTTAACATTATTACTTATTAGTTATTACTTCTACTATGGTAATTAACAACATAGTTCTTAACATTATTATAACATTATAATAATATAGTTCTTGTTTTAATTTTTGAGTTGAAACTTAAATGTATTTTAATTAATTTAATTGATGAGATGTGATATGTTATTGGTTAAACATTTATTTGAAATTTTGGATGAATGATTGAATGGTGTATTAATAATAATGAACATGTATGGAAACAAGTTATGTGTGTTAACCCGAAAACAACCCGTTTAATAACCAGGTCAGGTTAGTGTTTACACATCTCGACACGATTATTAAACATATCAGGTTTGTGTAAACATTAAAATTTTAAGAATAATGTTAAAAATTAAAATTTTGTTTTGAAATAATCAATATGTTTTTATTTAAAAAGANCAACCCGTTTAATAACCAGGTCAGGTTAGTGTTTACACATTTCGACACGATTATTAAACATATCAGGTTTGTGTTTTGGGATTTTCGACACAAACTCGGAATCAACTTGAAACGAAATGACTCAATTCGACATGTTTGACACCCCTAATTATGCATATATATTCGTTTTTTAATATTTAACTTTAACGTGTGCATAAAATGTGACAATTGAATGAAATAAAGAATAAAAAACTATTAAGTTCGATGGGTCAATGTTAAAAATTAAAATTTTGTTTTGAAATAATCAATATGTTTTTATTTAAAAAGANCCCCCTTATTTGTTGCCAACAAATTTAAATCCATGTCTGTATCCATCTAAAGAAGTAAAATTTCTTGTTCTTGATTAAATTCCATGGGTAAATAGTTAATATAATTTTATGTTCTATTGTTATGTACATGTAATTAAATGATTGTGTTATACCATCCGGTAGTTCCTAAAATATCTATATTCTATTGTTATATTCATGTGATTATATATCGATATTTATATTATTTAAAAAATTTTATCAAAGACTTTCAATAACACGATACGAACCGAACACGAAATTAAACAGGTCAATGGATAAACACGTTTAAATACAAAAAAACCCAACCTAACTCATTGTAGACTCATTTAACCCATTTATAACAGTATAATTTACCTATTATGTATGACTGATATAATCTTAACATTATTACTTATTAGTTATTACTTCTACTATGGTAATTAACAGCATAGTTCTTAACATTATTATAACATTATAATAATATAGTTCTTGTTTTAATTTTTGAGTTGAAACTTAAATGTATTTTAGTTAATTTAATTGATGAGATGTGATATGTTATTGGTTAAACATTTATTTGAAATTTTGGATGAATGATTGAATGGTGTATTAATAATAATGAACATGTATGGAAACAAGTTATGTGTGTTAACCCGAAAATAACCCGTTTAATAACCAGGTCAGGTTAGTGTTTACACATCTCGACACGATTATTAAACATATCAGGTTTGTGTAAACATTAAAATTTTAAGAATAATGTTAAAAATTAAAATTTTGTTTTGAAATAATCAATATGTTTTTATTTAAAAAGACTGAAATAAATCAGTGATTAAATTAAATTTTTAATGTTTTGAGGAACATTTTATAATATTTTGAGGTATTTCAAACTATATTGGTATTTTTGGATTAATATTTTTAAATATTTTGAAAATAAATTTCTTATATTTATTCGTTTTTATTTGATTCTGCAAATGTTTTTAACCAAATTTTGAAATATTTTTATTTTCTAAGTGACTAAAAAACCTAATTTCAAAATCTGATCCGATCCCAACCGGACTGCACCAGTAAGATTGCTACCCTAGGACCGAGTAGGTTTGTAGAACGCTGGTTCACAAACACGCACACAGGGTGATAGAGAGGAGGAAGAAGAAGATGATGGGAATTTGGGAAGAAATTGACCGTTCGGAAAGGTAATTACCAAAACCCTTTTGCCTTTTTTTTCATTTCTCTATTATAAAATCAAAATATGATTATAGTAATTCATGATAAATGCAATTTTTTCTCCTAAATTTAATTACTTATTGGTTCATATTTTCTTTTTCCCGAAAGGTTTATTGGTTCATATTTACTGTGGTGATTTGTAGCTGTCTTGTTTGCTGTATGTTTGAGGAAGCGGCGTCGTTGGCTTCTTCAATTATCAGGCGTTTATATGAAAATAAATGCATGGAGGGTTCAGAAAAGAATGAGTTGAGTGAGATGTTGGAATCGGCTGGTATGGTGTTGGTTCAGTCCTTTAAGGAACTTGGAAGGTACTCATATTTGCAGATCTCTATTAGTTTTTTCATTAGTTTTGTCATACTATTAATTTACTTAGATTAATTTATTTTGTTGGTTTATGGGTTTTTCAAAACTGTAGAAGAGAGTGTGAGTAGGAGCTTTAGAAGATAAACTGAAATATGAAGAGCTTATTGTCGTTATTGTTGTTTTTGTCGTTGTTATTATGCTAATTATGATTATGATGAATGAAGGAAGCGTAAGTATTAACTTTTCTGCTTTGAACATGGTAAATGCAATTTTAGTATCAGTCATGACATACCAGTTTCACTTAAAGATAGCTTTTAATTCTTCTAAAGGGATTATTTGGCACTCTCTAATGTAGTAATGTATATCCTCAGGTTTCTTCCCTCCACACACATTGCGTGTCAATCACAATACACTATTGTTAAACTAACAATATGCCATGTGTGTAGATAAAGAAGAACTACATTCTTAGGTCTTCACAGAAAATTAAGTTTTGGCATATGGTTTCAGTGGCGTGTAGAACATTTATCCAACATTATTTTTTTTGTCATAAGAATCTTCGCAAAAGAAGAACTACATTCTTGGAGAAGGAAAGTGGGCTATGGAAATATGGAAGTTATACTCGGCATGGTTGTTAATTTTTTTTTTGTTTGTCATATATGATCTTCAATGAGTAGTCATTTAGCTCCGTTTATGTTGTAATGAGGCCTTATTTGCAACTTTGGGATCAACTTCAATGTTGCAAAAATCTTTCTTGACCTTTGTTGTGTATCAAGGGTGATGATTTTCTGGAAAATCTGAGTTTTAGAATCTTTGCTCACTGTCTTGTTCTGCTTCTATGATTGTCTTTGCCTTGCCCATATTAAACTTGGTGTCCACTAGATCACTGATATTGTCATTTTTCATATCAACTAGATCAATGATATTATTATTTTTTTTTAGTTTTTACTGCGAGTACAACATTTCAGTGAGCAGCTTTTTTCTTTTTGTGTTGGTGGCTGTTGTGTTGCTTCTCATTTTTCACAAATCTAATCTTTTTTGATCTCTCTGTTTGCCTCTCACACATTTCACCATTATCATTTAGCTTTTCTCATTTGATAAGTATATTGCTCAACGCTGAGAATGTTGAACATCTTCTTTAGTTGATTATGCTGTGCTGATGGTATGGTTCGAATGCACATTAATTCATCCATGCTGAATTGCCTGATACAGATTCCTTTCTAGTCTCACCATCTTTTCGTGGGCAAACATAAACCACAACGTGCTTAATGGCAATGGCTTTGATAGGGATTCTATTGGGATGGGAGTGCCAATATATGTGTGCATGTACTTGGGTGTGCCCATCAGAATGGATAGGTGTATCTCTGGTTGTGTATATGCACGTGGTGCACATGTGTGCCTCTTTGCTTGAATTACAATGTTTTGAAGTTGCTAATTTTAGATTCATTATTTGTAACTATAGAAATCTTTGTTATAGTCAAACCTGCTTGCATGGCATTCATAAACACACCCTCACGCAATGCATATCTTTGACCTTGACTACTGATTCTGATTTCATAATTTTCTTCTAATTTGCAGAACTGTAGAAATATTGAAAGAGCTCAAACTGCTGTTTGGTTTTGCCTCTGCCATTCCTGTTCAAGTTTTCTTGACTGGGTACTCCTATATCTTTCTCATGTTATTTTTCAATTTAATAGGAGTTCTCTATGTGAAGAAAATCCAAAACATCTGAGAAGATAAATTTTCTACACATAGAGAGGTTATTTAAGCTTAAATACTAATGTGAATCAGAATAACCTTAGATATTGATACTGTTGAAAACACATACAGATGGGTTAGAATGTCCATTAAAAGGTCATTGTTAAATTTTCAAAATTTAGGATACAAGGATTCTTTGAATTGTTATTGTAAGCAGTGGTGTTTCTTTCCCCCTCTTTGAATTTAGGACACAATAATTCACTAAACCCTTGGCGACCCTTGATCAGGGTACATCGATCCCAAATGAGGTGGGTTTGCGATCCGGATCGCCAAAATATACGACCCCAAATTGTAATACAAATCGTAAATCGATTTGCTTTGGAACATGTGGCACAAATAAAATACATATTAATTAATTCCGTGTATATAGATTTATAATTAAATATTATTTTAGACAATAGAAAATCGAGTTCAAATATAACATAAATAATAACTGACTTAGTATTTTTGAATGTTCTATGATTTATTTGTTATATAATGAAAACGATTTACATAAGAGTTTTAAAACGAATTGCAAGCAAAAACAATGTACCTAAGCCTATCCCTATCATATCGCATACCTGTACCGGTACCAAGTATCAATGTGACCCACGATCCAGATAACATTACTATTAGGCTACTCAGGCTTAACTCATTTTTTTTTTTGATGACTTTTGGGGTTAGTCAACTTGGTCAAACACAGCTTGTTAAATTCCTTACCAACTCGGACTCTTCTTGGCTCGGCTTGCAGGCCATGAATAAGTCAAGTCTGTGCCCCTTGCACTCAGGCTAAAAAAGAAGGCAGCCAAAGTCCTTTTTTATATAGGGCCACGTCCCTCTTTTTGTTTTTATCTTTACGAATTTTGATGTGGGATTCTTTGTTCCAGCTGCAACATGGTTCAGAATCAATGATTATGTAGTGCTCTTTGTATATCTTTTTCTTTTGTAGGTTCGATTGGGATTGCCAGCATATTTTTCCAGCATGAAAGAACTAAAATAATTAAATTAGTGCTCGTATGTCAAAATGAACAAAGTAAGTGATGTTAGAGCATATATTTTCCTAGATACAGATCAAAAAAGCATTAAAATACATCCAATACCAGGCCAGTATGAATTATGAACTGCCAACATTTGCAGCAGGACTACAAATCTCTAAAATAAAAGGAGTATCTTTTGGAAATTCTATCATGAGATACCACTTGAAATCCAAATCTAAGTCACACCTAAAACTAAAAGTACTGGCGTGCAGACAACTAAATTAAGAGATCACAGCATAGCATGCACTAGGCTATTAGTGTTCTTGAGCCTGATACACATCATAAGCAACCCAAGCCCTAGGTCCAGGTCCAAGTCCATGCCGGGGGAAACCTTCTGCAGTTGCCTTCACCTATGAGAAGGAAAATAAGATGCGTAGTGTCCATTTGTTCACGAGCCTAGACGAACCAAACAAGTTGTGCTCAAGCGCTGCTCATCTATCAAATGAGTTTTGATATTGGGCTCAAGCTTGGCTCGTTTATAGCTGAACAGCCATAAACGAGCTTTAATTCCAGGTGATCCTGAGCTGTTCATGAATAACTTGGTTCATTAACAACTCTACTAGGTATGTGGTTTCATATGAGGTGATTTTTAAACTTTTGTTATAGCATGTGGGAACCTGACCCATGTTAGTTGTCATTGGAATGAAGTAGTAATGCATCCTATGCTTTATTTGTTGGACATGTGTTGGCTTGATATCTATTGGACAGTAAGTTTCTCACAACATCTTCTTAGCTATTTTTCGTTTTGTCCAGGAAGGTTACTTCGTCATTCTGAATAGTCAATGTAATGTTACTTGTGGCTAACATGGCTTTCTAAGAAAGTGATGATGAAAACTGTGTTAATTTTTAGTATTTGTGATGTTACTGTTCAGGGTTTGTTTTCAGATAACAGAAGGTCCTGCTTCCGGGGTGCGAGAATTTCTTGAGGAGTTTCTTAGCAGTTGGAGATATGTGGATCAAAGACACTATGTCCTTGCAAGTGCAGAAGCGAAGGTGGCCTATGTGGAAGGATGTGATGGTCAGCTTGTGCTAGAAGTTGATGAGTACATGAAAGTTGTTGAGGTCTATGTCGTAACACTTCTTGTGAAGATTATAAATGACTTGGACTTTGCTATCTCTTGGGTTGAGGAATCTGCAATACCTGAGGAAAAGCGACAGGTAACAATGGTTCTCTCATATTGTTGGAGCTGGTAATTGTTGGAATTGTTTAAGCTTGTTGTGTGGTTCCATACATATTTTTGTGTATTTGAATTTGACTTAACCACAGAGCCTGTATTCTTTCTGCTTAATAGCTGATTTGTATCCTAGATGCCAACAATTCACTATTCTTGATTTACTTAAAAGTCCCTTTTATCCCTGAGGTCAATGCAATCAAATGAGTTTTTTCATTGAATAAAAATGTAATATTCATTAAGCTATGTATGTAGCCACGTCTTCCAACTTAAGGTATCCATGATTCCCCATACATATTTTTTAAAAACCAGATCCGGGCCTGTTAGAGCATCATCTAATCCTTCGGGCATATGCATTACTCCTGTACCACATGCATCATGTAACTACAGGGATAAATCTTGGGGGGACAGCCTCATGGAGTTGGCAAGGTTTAATCCTGTGACTGCTCCTTTTTCGAGGCGGAGTGCATGCTATTGGGCCAATCCCTTGGGTTTAAGTGAACATTTTATTTCCTGGTAATTTATTTTTTTCGAAAAAAGAGATATGCAACAAAACCCAAAGGGGTTACATTTCGTAATCATTGAAGAGTGATCAAATTGAGGTAGTAAGCTTCAGTAAGTATCCAAGTATGTTAGTATCATTATCCCTTGTATTGTGTCCCAAGAGGTCATCCAGGTGGTACTTTCTCTGAAATTGAGGGAAGGTTTTAGTTTGACGAATGAAAAACAGTAAAGAGAGAGCCCTGTGTTTTCCATCTGGATTGCTTACTCTTGTGACCCTTCCTGCTAATCAAAATTTTGACCCTCCTGTAGAGAGGGAGGGACCTTCAATAATCAAAAAATTTACTATTCAATTTCGGTGCAGGCAAAAAATTGTCTTTGTTTTCTTATCCTTAAATGGACCACCACTTTGAGAAAGAAAGCATTTTTTTGATATGCCCTCTTGAAGATATTGTATGAATAGAAGAGCATACATTTATTTTAATAAAGCCCCTAACCCCACATTTGTTATAAGCTTGAGGTTCTCCTTTCTTATTCGTGTCTTCTTTGTATTCTAAAGCACATAAAGGTTGTCTGTGCTGATCTTCATGTTCCCTATATGCTTTTCTACGCTTTCACAGTGTGTGATAAATTTTAAATTAAATTCTAGATTTGCAAAATCCTTCGTGGCAATCCTAGAACTTCCCTCATTGTAACTANACAGTGTGTGATAAATTTTAAATTCAATTCTAGATTTGCAAAATCCTTCGTGGCAATCCTAGAACTTCCCTCATTGTAACTATAACATCCCTCAGTTAAAAAATTTCATTGATTCCTATAACCTCGCGGTAATAAAAAGAGGCATTATCTGGGCTTCAAAGAACTACAAAAACCTCAATGACAATTTTGTGGCTTTTAGACTAAAATTGCTGCTTCAACTAAGGTGGATGGTAAATGCATACCTTGATCCAATATTAATNGCGGTAATAAAAAGAGGCATTATCTGGGCTTCAAAGAACTACAAAAACCTCAATGATAATTTTGTGGCTTTTAGACTAAAATTGCTGCTTCAACTAAGGTGGATGGTAAATGCATACCTTGATCCAATATTAATTAAATGATATACTCATAAACATCATTCTTATGTCAGAACTTTAACTTAAATTTTGAGTGTGTTTTCCTTTGATTATGACAGCAGTATATTAATACATTGTGTTTGTGTGTTTTACTATATTTGTTGTTCTCCTGATTTTTGTCTAGGAACTCTTGAGGCGACTACACTCCATTTATGCCAACAATAGGTTCCAAGCCTCTGTGTCGCCTATGTTGGCAGATGAATGTGAAAATCCTTCTGCTTCGCTGAAAGAACTCAATATATATGAGGGATCTCAAAAAGCCTTGGAAACCCGAGATCCATCTGATGTACAGAGTGATGCGAAACAAGCACTTCTGAAATTATCTAGACATAATATTCCACGCTGCTGGTGGTTCCGTACCATCACTCTAAAGTTCGGCAATGGTCGGTGGGTCATATCCAATGGAAATATGTTGCTCGGCTGTTTGATTTTTCTAATGTATTATCTTATGCGGAGGAAGCAAGCCAGTTTAAAGAGGTAAGATGTGTTTTTTTTTTCTGTTCTTTGTAAGCTTAATTTTAAAGAAGTAAGATATGTATTTCTAGCTATACAAGCCAACGGTATCAAAAGGTGTTGACAAAGGTTTATGTCTCCTGCGTCATAGACTTCTAGCCACAGTGGTGCTATATCTTATGGATGGTAGACTTTCTTCCTTGAACAATAAAACTTCACTCGTAAAATTGATTTTCTCCTTTTGGTGTATGGGTATTTGTACTCTACTGTGACCGCAGTTCAGAAAAATGGCCTCTTATTCAAACTCGAATGGAGGAAATATGAGAATTTCCTGGGACTCTAGCATTCCCATTTTTGTATGCATGCACACACGTATAAGGGGAGAAACATAGAGAGGTCCAGTTCAAGTAGTTTTTCCTGCTCCTTCCTTCTATAGGGTGTTGGATTTGAACCGTGAAAAAAGGGCATGGGTACTGGGTAGAGTGGGGTTATGAGAAAGAGGAGGCTATCCCTCATTGTGTAGCCAGCCCAGTTCTTTGGACCAAGAGAGAGGCTCAGTTTGGCCGCTAGGGAAATACTACACAAGTGGAACCAAGGCATTGGTTTAATTAAACTGGAATGATGCAACTTTCCTCTTGGACTTGTTTTCTATTAATAGTTGGTTGAGGAAGAATTAGTCTTGGAAGACTGTGGAAGAAAGATACACTGTGATAGAATCTTTTTATTCTTATCAAATTGGGTGGGGCTCTTCCATGCAACTATAGGAGGCCCCATGCGGTGCTTGTCTTCTGATAGTGTCAACAAGGTTAACAACAATGGCCCTCAGGCGTGCATGTACACACCCAACCGNAATCAAATTGGGTGGGGCTCTTCCATGCAACTATAGGAGGCCCCATGCGGTGCTTGTCTTCTGGTAGTGTCAACAAGGTTAACAACAATGGCCCTCAGGCGTGCATGTACACACCCAACCGAAGCCACAGTATGCTTGCAGGTAGTATAACAAAGCCTTTAGAAACTTTGTTAATACTTACTCTGATGGTGCAATTAGGATCCTTCTGGGTGTTGCTGGAGGTGGTAGTGCAATCAGGAACAACGATGGACATTTGTACTTGGTTTTCTCTCCACTTATGGTTATCCCTCTCTACATTTGATAGCCTTTAGGTATGTTTAAATTTTGGGTTACCAGGCCTGCATAGAACTAACTGCCTTAGTATATTTGAACATTCTAAGAATTGCAACATGGGGTACGGGCAATAGTCTTTACTGCCCTTTATTGCTAGGTTGTGTAGCATCTTTCTATTTTTGCTAGAAAATGAAATAGGACATGAATATTTATTTGGTAATGCATTAATTTGGAATATTAGTATATGCTATATTATTTGCATGGCAAAGACTATTGATTTGTTTGTTTTCGCTGATTTTCTGGGACACATCCGAAAAATGATGTTTGCTTTATTGTATTTTGGGAAAAAAATGAGAATGTCAACAATGTAAATGTTTCAGCTGCAAAATACAAACCTTTATCTGTGGTTGTGGAATTTTTGTCAGATATGAAAGCTTTTGTTAGACTACTCAGAGAATTATTCTTGTTTATTTAATAATTCATTTGAATTTTTTTCTTTATTTCAGGACTCTTAGGAAACAAGCATCGTCCATAAAGAAGGCTTTGGGGGATTTGTGGCAACTTGCATTCTCTTATCAAGTGAACCCTCTAGCTGCTGTTCAACCCCTCCCTCCTGCTATGCCCAGAAGCCGGTGATGGTGCATTCTGTCCTCAATTATTATTAGTTAAGCTGGTAGACGATATCTAGCTACTCGATATCTCCATTGAAGTTATTCTAGCTGCAAGATTTGGGTCCTTCATTTCCTCTCAAATGGGAAAACAATATTGTCACAGGTGTGAGCATTAATTCCATCATTGTCAATGCATACCATTGTAATTGTCAATGGATACCAGTGAAACGTGATTGAACGTTGTCTAGCTAATTTAATTGCACCATCTTCCAGTTATTTGTCTCTTTGATCTTATGATAGAAACTATTGCATGCCCATAATCATGGCCTTATGCTGGGTGACTATTGATCAATTGGGGTTACCGGGTTAGCCCAGTTGACCAACTGACTCTCATGCGAATAGGTTGGAGCCACCTGACTTGTTTCAATCCTATGTGGATCTTTCTATTGCTCCCCTCTATGTGGGTCTTTCTCTTGTGTCTTTTTGGTTATTGCTTTTGTTTCCAATGTAGTCACATTGTAATTAGATCTACCTCTAGTATAGATATGTTGTAACAATTGTAACCGTGATACATTTTTGTATATATATACTGGCAATATCGTCGTGTTTGAAGTCACTTCGTAATATTAAAAATTGAACACCGATAGTCTAAGTATAATGTTTAAAATTTGTGTATGTTTCTTTAATCACGTAATTTAAAATTAAATGAATAAAAAAATAAAATAAAAAAGAGGTAGAGGAGAGACAAGAGAGGTATAGGTGTGAATTAATGGAGTTGTTTAGCATTGGAGGCCGTGCAATAAAAATAATATTTTTGAGTAAAAGAAGAAATTTTCAAATGAATTGTGTATCATTAGATTAAACTTGACTGTCGTTTTTTTTTATAATTTAAAAATTCAACTTTCTAGTTGGAATATTAGATAGATATGTATATAAATTTGGGTGACTATTCATTCATCTCTAGACATCATTTGTGATCAAATTCACTTAAAGTTCAATTTTTTTGTTCAATAAATTTGGTTTTACATTAGCTATTGACCAAATCCAAAAGGGGAATAGAAAATAAGCATTGCAATTTTTGATTATTTTGTAATTCAAAGGAAAAATGGCAGGTTCTTGTGCATTAGGTACGTTTTTTTGTAATTCAAAGAAAATTTCGTGCTAGCCACTCTAAAGATTATGAATTTTTATATGATTTAAAAGCTTCCTCTGATTTTTTAGGCATGATGAATTAGTGCCTTGGACAACCCAAATTCAAGCCCTTCGTCAACTAGTTCATAAACCAAACATAGGATTATGTAAAGGTACTTTCTAGGATCAAAATTTTGTTTTGATACATTGTTTCGGTTACCTAAAAAATGAAAAAAAATTTAATATGTTTTGGAAATATTTCAACAAATTTCAAAAATAGAATGAAAAAAAAAAAATTAAAACTTATTGTTCTAAAACATAGGTTAAAATATATTAAAGTATCTTAAAATACCTTAAAATATTCTGAAACAATTGTGTNGCATACCATTGTAATTGTCAATGGATACCAGTGAAACGTGATTGAACGTTGTCTAGCTAATTTAATTGCACCATCTTCCAGTTATTTGTCTCTTTGATCTTATGATAGAAACTATTGCATGCCCATAATCATGGCCTTATGCTGGGTGACTATTGATCAATTGGGGTTACCGGGTTAGCCCAGTTGACCAACTGACTCTCATGCGAATAGGTTGGAGCCACCTGACTTGTTTCAATCCTATGTGGATCTTTCTATTGCTCCCCTCTATGTGGGTCTTTCTCTTGTGTCTTTTTGGTTGTTGCTTTTGTTTCCAATGTAGTCACATTGTAATTAGATCTACCTCTAGTATAGATATGTTGTAACAATTGTAACCGTGATACATTTTTGTATATATATACTGGCAATATCGTCGTGTTTGAAGTCACTTCGTAATATTAAAAATTGAACACCGATAGTCTAAGTATAATGTTTAAAATTTGTGTATGTTTCTTTAATCACGTAATTTAAAATTAAATGAATAAAAAAATAAAATAAAAAAGAGGTAGAGGAGAGACAAGAGAGGTATAGGTGTGAATTAATGGAGTTGTTTAGCATTGGAGGTCGTGCAATAAAAATAATATTTTTGAGTAAAAGAAGAAATTTTCAAATGAATTGTGTATCATTAGATTAAACTTGATTGTCGTTTTTTTTTATAATTTAAAAATTCAACTTTCTAGTTGGAATATTAGATAGATATGTATATAAATTTGGGTGACTATTCATTCATCTCTAGACATCATTTGTGATCAAATTCACTTAAAGTTCAATTTTTTTGTTCAATAAATTTGGTTTTACATTAGCTATTGACCAAATCCAAAAGGGGAATAGAAAATAAGCATTGCAATTTTTGATTATTTTGTAATTCAAAGAAAAAATGGCAGGGTCTTGTGCATTAGGTACGTTTTTTTGTAATTCAAAGAAAATTTCGTGCTAGCCACTCTAAAGATTATGAATTTTTATATGATTTAAAAGCTTCCTCTGATTTTTTAGGCATGATGAATTAGTGCCTTGGACAACCCAAATTCAAGCCCTTCGTCAACTAGTTCATAAACCAAACATAGGATTATGTAAAGGTACTTTCTAGGATCAAATTTTGTTTTGATACATTGTTTCGATTACCTAAAAAATGAAAAAAAAATTAATATGTTTTGGAAATATTTCAACAAATTTCAAAATAGAATGAAAAAAAAAAATTAAAACTTATTGTTCTAAAACATAGGTTAAAATATATTAAAGTATNATTTTGTTTTGATACATTGTTTCGGTTACCTAAAAAATGAAAAAAAATTTAATATGTTTTGGAAATATTTCAACAAATTTCAAAAATAGAATGAAAAAAAAAAAATTAAAACTTATTGTTCTAAAACATAGGTTAAAATATATTAAAGTATCTTAAAATACCTTAAAATATTCTGAAACAATTGTGCAAATATATTGAAATATTACAAAACACCTCAAATCATTATGAAACACCTCAAAGTAGAATTTCGATATCATCATTGATTTGTTTCGGTCTCTTTGAAAACGTGTCAAAACCAATTTTGATCCTTGTGTGCAATTTCAATACTACGTCAACAACAATATTGACTAGATTCTCTTCGTGTAGTATCATCTTCGTGCGGTTATTTTTAGACTGTATCATTTTAATTTGTATTATGTTTGTATCGGTATTCACAAAAGAATATACATATTTAGTGTGTTACAAGTGATTAATACTAATCCAANCCTCTTTAAAAACGTGTCAAAACCAATTTTGATCCTTGTGTGCAATTTCAATACTACCTCAACAACAATATTGACTAGATTCTCTTCGTGTAGTATCATCTTCGTGCGGTTATTTTCAGACCGTATCATTTTAATTTGTATTATGTTTGTATCCGTATTCACAAAAGAATATACATATTTAGTGTGTTACAAGTGATTAATACTAATCCAACTTATTTATTATACACATTTATTAAGTTGCATCTATTTTTTAGTTGTGCCATATAGGATTTGAATCGTGCTTAAGTCAATGGATAAAATTAACACCCCTACTGCGTAATTAACGTCAATTCAATCATTTTATTGCTCGAGAGGAAACACCTTACATATGACTTATTTTTATAATACAAGAATTAATCTCTCTCTCCCCAAGGGAGATCCACAAAAGAAGTACAAATCTCAAGGATTTGCTTGTGGTGTGGAAAAGTAGTAATAAAGAAAGTGAAACTCTCTCCTCTCTCTCTTACTCCTATAAATAGGATTATTAATAGACGGTGGTTTACCGTCTTTTTGAATCATTGTAAATTATATTTTGTCAAAATTTATGCAATTCATATGCTACCTTTTAGTTTCCTAACACATAAATCATATTCAGCCAAATACACATCTTATTTAGCCAAGTTCTTCCATTTATGAAATAGTTTTGGCAGATCAATTTATTTACGATCCAAATTTATTAAGTTTAGACTCATATTCACTTCATGTCGAATCTACGGATCAGGTTAAGAATTACGAGGCGTGGACGTAAAGAAGAAAGAAACTACATCTGTGCATCTTACATGCCTACAAAGGATTGAATATCCCATGTGATTGAGAGAGAGAGAGAGAGAGAGAGAGAGGAAATGGATTTCTTCCATAAGAATGGTTCGGCATGGAATAACCTGAGGCCAAACATGGGATGCCGGAATACCCTGACCGTGAATGTGGCGTACATAGCATTGTACATGTTGGGCTTCTTCTTTATTGTCATCTCCTCCAAGTTTCTACACATCCTCTTACGCCCTCTATCGCAGCCTCGCATCATCTCTGAATCCATTGTAAATCTCTCTCTCTCTCTCTCTCACACACACACACACACAATAATCCCATGATTTTTTCTTGTTATTATGGATAAATTATACTTTTGGATTGGGTGTTGAAAACAACAGCATAGTTTCTGTACCGAGGCATTAAAGTTGAATAAGAAAAATTGGAAGATCGATTTTAAATTAATTTGTGTGATATCATAATAATATCATTAGGAAAAATAAAATAAAAAGTGAATAAATGCCAATTTAAAGGTCAGATTATTCATTTTTCATAATTCAAACCCTCTGTTTAGATTCAGCTACCAAAATCTAACATTGTAAGCATTTTTATCAAAGTACAGAATAGACTAAACATGCATGAGTTTGAAATCTAAATCTTCAGCTTATAACAAAATGAAATGCTAAAAAAGATCATAGCTAGGTGTCTGTCTTAGGCAGATGAGTACTTGTCCTTAGGGTGGTAAACAAGCCGAACGAACAANATTGGAAGATCGATTTTAAATTAATTTGTGTGATATCATAATAATATCACTAGGAAAAATAAAATAAAAAGTGAATAAATGCCAATTTAAAGGTCAGATTATTCATTTTTCATAATTCAAACCCTCTGTTTAGATTCAGCTACCAAAATCTAACATTGTAAGCATTTTTATCAAAGTACAGAATAGACTAAACATGCATGAGTTTGAAATCTAAATCTTCAGCTTATAACAAAATGAAATGCTAAAAAAGATCATAGCTAGGTGTCTGTCTTAGGCAGATGAGTACTTGTCCTTAGGGTGGTAAACAAGCCGAACGAACAAGTTTAAGCCCAAGTTTAATAATCTCGTTTTTCAAAATGAGCTTTAAAATATGTCTAATTTTAACTTGTTTTTTAAATGAGTTAGACGAGCCCAAAACGAGTCAAGTTCGAGTAACTCAACTATTTTATATATAAACGATCCGAATTTTGCGAACTCGACCCCAAAATGAGCAGAACTTATAGAGTTTGTTTTTTCTAAACAAACCTAAAAAATTATTCAAGCTCAAAATAAGTTAAATTTAAGCCGAACCCCGAGTAGCTGAGATTGTTTACCATCCCCTACTTGTCATTGCTGTGGACCGACCTCTTAAGCAAACGAATTGTACAAAATGAAATTGGCAAATTGTCAACATCTAAAAAGTAACCACCCTGTTCTTCTGCACACACACACACACACACACAGAATCTCTCTCTCTCTCTCTCTCTCTCTCTCTCTCTCTCATACACACACAGACACACAGAGAAACTGCTATTTTGTTGGGTCTTGCTTTAGGATAGGTGTNTACTTGTCCTTAGGGTGGTAAACAAGCCGAACGAACAAGTTTAAGCCCAAGTTTAATAATCTCGTTTTTCAAAATGAACTTTAAAAAGTGTCTAATTTTAACTTGTTTTTTAAATAAGTTAGACGAGCCCAAAACGAGTCAAGTTCGAGTAACTCAATTATTTTATATATAAACGATCCGAATTTTACGAGCTCGACCCCAAAATGAGCAGAACTTATAGAGTTTGTTTTTTAAACAAATCTAAAAAATTATTCAAACTCAAAATAAGTTAAATTTAAGCCGAAGAGTAGCTGAGATTGTTTTCCACCTCCTACTTGTCATTGCTTTGGACCGACCTCTTAAGCAAACGAATTGTATAAAATGAAATTGGCAAATTGTCAACATCTAAAAAGTAACCACCCTGTTCTTCTACACACACACACACACACACACAGAATCTCTCTCTCTCTCTCTCTCTCTCTCTGACACACAGACACACAGAGAAACTGCTATTTTGTTGGGTCTTGCTTTAGGATAGGTGTAAGGAACAAAGAGGGACTGCATGGTTATATGCAAGTGATCACCTGCACATCTCACATACTAAGATAGTCTTAAAATTACTCTGTTTTGCTACACTTTTTCAGTATCCTACTCGTGATTTATTATATCATTAGACCTAAATGATTTACAGTTCAACGACAAAACTCACCGGAAGACTAAGATTTATGTAGCCGACCACAATAGTTTAATAAAAAAAAAAAAAAAGATTTCTTGAATTAAGTTGAGACATAAATGGTTTCTGGCTACATGCAGGTAGGACTGTTCATTAGTAACCTACCCTTCATACGCGCATCACTAACTGATGAGGTACACCAGACACTAACCTATATAGCCGATGTTGGTATGATTTGCCACATGTTTGTGGTAGGTCTGGAGTTTGATCCCAGTCTCTTTCACCTTCCGGTCCGCGAAGCGAAGGTGGCCTGTGCCGGAGTGTTCACCACATTCATTCTCGCTTGCCTGCTGACTCCGTTTCTGCAGGTTACCGATGTTTCTAATATAAAATTCAATCTCTGTCTCTCCATTATTCTCTCCGGCACCGCCTGTCCCCTGCTCACAAGGCAAATAACCGATCTCAAGATTGGTAAGTCGGATATTGGACGTTTTGTGGTTTCTGCGGGGATACAATCCGACTTGGTGGCCACTGTCCTCATCTCCGTTGGGTTTATCATGTTTGATCCCTTTACGAGTTTTACAACCAGAAGCTTACAGGACATTATTGGAATGATAGCAATGCTGGTGATCGAAACCATGTTAGCAGGCAAGGTAACGCCGATAATCATGAACTGGTTGAACCATGAAAACCCAGAAGGGAAACCCATGAAAGGCTCTCACCTAATCCTCTCAATAGCCTATGTTGTCATTGTGTGCAGTTGCTCACCTGTCTGGGGAAAGTTCAACAACGTATTAAGCGCGTTCTTGGCGGGGTTTTTTATGCCAAGGGAAGGGAGGATATCAAAGATGCTGATCACCAAAGTTAACTACTTCTTCGGCATCATCTTTTATCCACTTTTTTCCTTTTGGGTTGGAACAGAAGCTGAACTTACCAAATTTGGAGCTGGCCATATTATGACTTGGGCAAGGTTGTTTTCCCTCTTTGTGATTGCAACTGTTGGGAAAATTCTCGGTACTGTGGTGTCTGGAGTGATGCTAGGGTTCCGTTGGCAGGAATCAGTTGCCATCGGGTTGCTTCTCAGTATGAAGGGCCATTTCCAAATGTACTTGGCAATCACTGCTGCAAAAGTAAGCATGTCAACATCCTTCTCTTCATGAACTACAGTCTAAAACAACTATTTTCTTGCCTACCCTTGAATTGGAAAGCCAAAACTGTTATACAACCTCTACACAAACTCTGTTCAGAAATAGACATTGATGTTAAGGTGATCTTATGGTTGTTGCATTTTACCTTGCTAAATGCAGATGAACCTCACAAGTCTTTCAACCAGTATTGTGATGGTATTTGTGACCATCCTAACTATTATCTACACCCCGTTTGTTGTGGGAAACATCATTGAACGTGCAAGGAAACGATCACCAACACAACTAATGGCACTGCAATGGCTCAACCCATCAAACGAGCTTCGAATTTTGCAATGCCTTCATGGGCCTCAAAATCTCCAATCTGCTATCAGTGTCATAGAGATTTCTCGAGGACCAGCTGACCCTGGAATCATGGTTTACCTTACTGACATGATAGAACTAACAGAAAGCATAGCAGCCACATTAGTTCATAGTCAAGGAGTGGATGCTGTGACTGTGACCGACCAGGCAGTTGTCAACATGAGAGAACAAATAACCAATGCAGTCGGAGCTTACTTGGGTGCGGATGGAGAAGGCATCAGCCTTCGTCGAATGCTTGCTCTCTCCACAATGAATAGCATGCATAACGATATCTGTATTCTAGCAGAGGACTTGATGGTTTCTCTCATCATACTGCCATTCCACAAGGATCAAGATACATACGGGCGACTCAATGGAGGTCATTCCAGGTTTCGCCATGTGAACCGTAAGGTAATCAACAGGATCACCGAATTTGCAAAATTTTCTATTTCTCACTCTATGCAATGTCTTCACTAATGTTGTCTCTAGTATATAACTACAAGAAGATCTTAGAAATGGTTCAGGGAACCTAGTATCATCTCTTAGGAACAAAGGAAGAGTGAGTTTTTATGGGGAAGAAGTCTTCTAATACTTCACATTCTTCAATCTAAAATGCCTTTTGAAGTGAATCCCCTAACCACTTCCCCGCAAATGCGTCTTCCACCGCACAATTTTCCCCACATTGTTCAAATTATTCTCCATCAGACTCCTGAATTCTAAATTTCATCCTTGAATTCTCATTTTCTTGCTTGATCACGATTTTGGTGCTTCACAGGTACTCCGCCATGCCCCATGCTCAGTGGGAATACTAGTGGATCGAGGCCTTGGATCCACCAAAATATCAAGATCAAGTGTATCCCTCAACGCAGCAGTCATTTTTATTGGCGGAAAAGATGATCGAGAAGCACTATCCTACGCTGGCCGTGTGGCACGACATCCTGGAGTAAAACTCACAGTCATAAGATTCCTACTGGACGCCAATGGAGATAGTGTCTCATCAAGAATTTGCAGAGCAAGGGTCAACATTGCTGAGCACGAAGAAGAGATGAAGCTCGATGACGAGTACTTTGCGGAGTTCTATGACAGGCACGTGGCCACAGGGCATGTTGCTTATATGGAAAAATACCTTGTGAATTCTGGGCAAACATTTTCAACTCTCCGATCATTGGAAGAACAATATGCACTGTTCATTGTTGGGCGAGGAGGGAGGGTGAATTCGGTGTTGACAGTTGGGATGAATGACTGGGAGGAGTGTCCGGAGCTAGGTCCCATTGGTGACATTCTTTCGGCATCTGATTTCTCGGTCACAGCCTCTGTTCTAATCATCCAACAACACAATCTCAAAGGAGAACTAGATGGCCTCAATGATGAATTCTCCATCATGTAGATTTGAACTCTGGTTACATGGTTGAGGATTTTGGGGTGCCAGTTGTCATAGGAAAAAATCATGTAAATAGGAACTCTGGTAATGTGGTTAAAGGCTTTGGGCTGTCAGTAGGGGCGTGCAAGAATCTGAAAATCCGACTCTGACTCCAACCGATGATTTTAGGCATTCAAGTTGAAAGGACAGTAGATACTTTCTACCACACAGACCATCGCTCTCTGTCAAGTGCTTTGTTGCAATTCTTGCCCCTAGAAGAAGTCCTAGTCACTCTCTTGCCCTTTCCATAAAATTATTTTGCATTCAGAATAGCACAACTAAATTTGTGTATAGCATTTAATATTGAATATTTCATAACATAATCCATTTATTTTATACATTTACTAGTTGAAAATTCTTCAAATTTAGGCCTGTAACTTGACTATAGTCGCATATGTGGTTGCAGGTGTAAGACTATTGATAAGGATTAAGGAAAATGCTATGGAAAAACTTGAGTAGATGATGATTGTGATGATGAGTCCCTTGAGCCTGAGTCAAGGAAGAGGCTGAGGTATGAATACGAGTCAATCATTGCTAACAAGTCGGTCACTGTGAACGAATGGTTGATCATAAGAATAAAGGAAAGTCTGCGGTTGTTAGAAGGATAGTAGATTTAGGCTTAAATTTCTTCTTTGAGCCCATGCATGGGTATATTCTTACCCATTGTCGTGAGTTCTATGGTGGATTGAGGGAGGTCGATTCAGACCTTAAGATTTTGAGGACCACAGTACGTGGTAAGATCATACAAGTGACCCCAGATACCATAGCTAAGCACATGGAGTATGCTAAGCCACCACCTGAGAGGATCGATTACCCACATTCTGAGTTTAATGCTAAGAGTTTGACAAAGTATGTGAGATTGACGTACAGGCATCCAAATCAATTTTGGTTTTATCCCGATTACTACACTACAAAACTTTTCTACGCTTGGGAAGCACTTTGTTATATTTCAAGGAGCGAAGGAAACTGTGCAATTTGTCAAGGCAACGCTTATCAGGCTTGATATTGAGCACAAACTGTAGGTTATAAAGGACAGGAAAACAAATTTTGAGGACATTGATCAGAAAATTGCGGGATGTATCACACTTGAAAAGTATGGAGCATACCATTAATTAATGTAAAAACAGCTTGTCCAAAACACCCAATGGATTGAAAACAAATGTCCTGAAGATCATGATGAACTCCCTCTCACTCTATCAAACAACAAAAACATCATCTGTGCACCCAATGGTTAAATACACACTGCCCCCTTACATAAGGATTAGTAGTCCCTTGAGTGCTTTGCTACCTCCGCCTACACAGGATAATGAAGGCATAAGACATGAGAAAAAGATGATATAGCAGGCGAAAGTTCTTGTTCCACCAGAGTGGCGGCATAGTGATTTTATTTCTTTTTGCTTTTTTTTTTTTTTACAAAAATATGAAATGATAGGAAATAATCAATGCTTCAAACTTGAAAGTGCACCCAACATGTTTAATGGTTTAATATTAAGATGGATTTCAAAGTACATTAAAAGCAATAAATTGTGACATCTTAACTGATAATCAATAAACTCTCTTCTTCTGCAAGTTTCTGGTCCTCTAAAATTAAGATTGCTAGGAATTAGAGACAACTAAGATGTCTCATTAAAGTACCATGACAGAGGAGCACATTTTAAAACTAACAATTGCATTACGCAACAACACTGCCAAAAAAAAAAAGCTACTATTAATGTATATAAGATTTTGCCATAGGGAAGTAGTGCCCTGGTCTGGTCTGTAAAAAAAATGCTTTTGCCAGAGTGTGTTGGTAGACAAAAACTTTTACAGATGCTAGGTAGAGGAAACTCCTGCATTGCATTGCCTTGAAAAAGGACCAAACAATTTGTGGTGGGGTGAACAATATTTTCCCTAAAGGCAGAGGCAGCACCCAAGTTGAAGGGTTTTGCAAAGAGTCAAATGACATTAAATTTGAGAGCCAAGCCATGACTCAAACAACATTCCAGAAACTTAGCAAGTGCCTAATCCATCAGCCAACAACTACGAAGAAGATGGCAATGAAGAGGAAGAAATTTTTTTTTTCCCCATAAGAAATACACTTTTATTAGTAATAACAAAAAAAGGTTAGATAATCCAAAACAAAAAAAAAAAAAAAAGGTGGACAAGATGTCCAACCCCAAAATTTCCATGGATTTTGACAACTTCCCCTCTCAACCTCATTAGCATCCCACCCATTAACTTGCAATCAATACTTGCTTTTAATAACCAATGTCATATAATGAAATTTGCTCAAAAGGAAATCTCCAAAGCCAATTTCCAACAAAAGCCTTTTTCCTAGCCATCAAATTGCCCACTGATGGCCCACCTTTTGCTTTGACCTAGACACAACCTCCAACTCATCAAAGGATCCTTTTTACCCTCCCATTTTCATTCCCACAAAAAACCACTCGTCATTTCTTCAATCCTCTTAGCTATCACTCCCAACAACTTGAAGAGGGATAAGATATGAATAGGAATACTAGTCATCACAAGCTGGAGTAGAGTCAATCTCCCCACCCCCCCAAAAAAAAAAAAAAAGAAAGCCTTCTTACCACCATTCAACATTTTCCCTACCTTCGAATAATAGGATCCCAAAAAAACAAACAATGAGTTACCACGTAATGGAAAACCTAAGTACTTCAAAAGTCAACCTTAAACAGAACACCCTAAGGTCAAAACCGACAATTAACCTACCCCTGGTTTTTAATTCCAGCAATTATAGTCTATTCCATATTCTAATCAAAACAAAGACATCAACTATCTTCTTATCGTTAGGGAGTTTCTCCTTTTTGCGCTACGAGAAGAAAATAATTTCATCAACAAACTGCAAATGTAACACCGAAATCTTATCCCTCTCAATCACAAAACGCTCAACCAGATTACATTCCTCCACTCAAACCACTAGCCTACTCAATCCATCCACCACAATAGCAAACAAAAACGGCGATAAATGATATCCAAATCCCCTCGAAGCCTTTAAAAACCTCTACTTCAAGTCCAAAAAAAATATTCTCTACTCTGAGTCCAAAAAAAGTGTTTTAGGCAATGAGTGGAATTTATCACATGCCTCATAATTGCTCAGTAGGGCTTAGATGGAAAAGCAATAAGCAAGCAAAACTTTTTGTTTGAAAGGAAAGAAGGGGTGAGCAATTTCAATCATTACTACTATCTACTACGTCACTTTTCACATACCATGCAAGGCCGCTTAAAATGCATTCAGGTAAGAAAAATGATACCATAAACCTAGATTTTGGCACTAATTTTATCATATTGCAGGGAGAGGGTACAATAGCTAAAAGTGCTTTGGATAACTTCATAATGTTGCTCTATTACTTCCATCGGATAGAAATTCACTTTTGCCACAGAGAAGTAAATAGTATTCAATGATGGCCTCGCATGCTGCATTTATGGTAAGAATTAATAAATTTGCAGTTATGGTAAGAATTAATAAATTTGCAGTTATGGCAAGAATTAATAAATTCCAGTTCTTTTTCTTTGTACTTAAATAGTAGCTCATTCTATTATTTTTTTATGTGCTACCCCACTACTAATAGCTTGAACCAAGGAATGTAAATAGCCTCTCTTTGTCAAGGTAGACTTGTACCCCCAGACTTCTGAAATATAAACTAAATATCATGTCTCTGTCAGTACTGCTTAAACACCATATCATATTCCTCCACTTCCTTCTCATAGAAGTGCTCAATAATTAATAATACTAAAGCTCCCACACTTCTTCTCCCTTCTTGACTCAATATTAGTGGAAGATAATGAGTTATATGCCTCGCATGTTTGGACATCCCACCAAGTTAGCATGTCTTTGCCTTATTCAAAATTAGGTTAATTCAAAATAGTCAAGCATGAAAAACNCCTAGAAGAAGTCCTAGTCACTCTCTTGCCCTTTCCATAAAATTATTTTGCATTCAGAATAGCACAACTAAATTTGTGTATAGCATTTAATATTGAATATTTCATAACATAATCCATTTATTTTATACATTTACTAGTTGAAAATTCTTCAAATTTAGGCCTGTAACTTGACTATAGTCGCATATGTGGTTGCAGGTGTAAGACTATTGATAAGGATTAAGGAAAATGCTATGGAAAAACTTAAGGAGTAGATGATGATTGTGATGATGAGTCCCTTGAGCCTGAGTCAAGGAAGAGGCTGAGGTATGAATACGAGTCAATCATTGCTAACAANAAGGAGTAGATGATGATTGTGATGATGAGTCCCCTGAGCCTGAGTCAAGGAAGAGGCTGAGGTATGAATACGAGTCAATCATTGCTAACAAGTCGGTCACTGTGAACGAATGGTTGATCATAAGAATAAAGGAAAGTCTGCGGTTGTTAGAAGGATAGTAGATTTAGGCTTAAATTTCTTCTTTGAGCCCATGCATGGGTATATTCTTACCCATTGTCGTGAGTTCTATGGTGGATTGAGGGAGGTCGATTCAGACCTTAAGATTTTGAGGACCACAGTACGTGGTAAGATCATACAAGTGACCCCAGATACCATAGCTAAGCACATGGAGTATGCTAAGCCACCACCTGAGAGGATCGATTACCCACATTCTGAGTTTAATGCTAAGAGTTTGACAAAGTATGTGAGATTGACGTACAGGCATCCAAATCAATTTTGGTTTTATCCCGATTACTACACTACAAAACTTTTCTACGCTTGGGAAGCACTTTGTTATATTTCAAGGAGCGAAGGAAACTGTGCAATTTGTCAAGGCAACGCTTATCAGGCTTGATATTGAGCACAAACTGTAGGTTATAAAGGACAGGAAAACAAATTTTGAGGACATTGATCAGAAAATTGCGGGATGTATCACACTTGAAAAGTATGGAGCATACCATTAATTAATGTAAAAACAGCTTGTCCAAAACACCCAATGGATTGAAAACAAATGTCCTGAAGATCATGATGAACTCCCTCCCACTCTATC